TTAATGACATCAGATGTTCTTTAGGCGAATCGAATGGGCGAAGAACATAATATCATCCCTTTAAGGGCTTTTTTTTGGGGGGGGGGGGTGGTGGAGTTAGGGCAAGACATTTCAAACAAGCTGACATATGAAGCTAGCTTGTAGGAGAGGAAGGTGGACGCTTTATCAGACTAAGTAGTAAACGATTTAGGTTGCTAATATGCTAATGCTAATAGAGCTATCCATAGGAGGATGTTAATGATAACAGAAATACTATTTAAACTATTGCAATGCTGATACTGATATTTATTCGGTGATGCTAATGCTAAAAGAGGGATCCATCCATCCATCTATATCGTTGTATCCATTAAAAGAGGGATCCATACAGCAATTCTCATGTTAATAGAGGTATCTATACTGTGATGCTAATGCTAATAGAGGTGTCCATAAAGGGATGTTAATGCTAATAGAGCTATCCATGCAGTGATGCTAATACTAATGGACTTATCCATACTATCATGCTAATGCTAATAGAGTTATCCATGCAGTGATGCTAATACTAAAGGACTTATCCATACTGTCATGCTAATGCTAATAGAGGTATCTATACAGCGATGGTAAAGCTTAATAAATTGCAGTTTGGCCTTATTGCCACTTACTTTCCTCAGGTAAGCAAGCTTATGCAGAACAATTAAAATATGTCTAACCTTGTTTATGAAGGGACAGTAGGACTTTAAATTTGAAAGCCAACCCAAAACGTGAACAGCGACAAAAAACAGTCATGAGGCCAAACAGAATTCAGGGAAATACAGGTCTGTCATGAAAAGGAGAAAAAGCTGGAAGAGTGGGGGGGGGTGGAGAAAGAGAGGAGGGAAACTTACAAGTCCCCTTTGAAACACTAGGCCCCCCGGCCTCCCACTCCTGCGCACTAATTCCCTAAAGTGCCGCGCCGGCTTTCAAATTCCATGAGGGCCCTGTGCAGAGAAAAACACCCCAGGCTTCTCCTAGGCTGCGCGTCCTCAAAAACAGAAGCGGAGAAACACACAAAACAGGTCCCAGGGAGTGAGAGCGAGCACAGCGCAAACACCCAGAACTTCATCCAGGCCGCACTCAAGCCACACCGCACGCGTGTTTAGGTTCAAAAACGCGTTGTGCACTGCCAGACTCACCACATCCATTCTGTCTGCCGTTTCTGTTCAAAACACAAAGGAGATTTGAGTCGTACTCTTTTGGTAAATGAAGTAAGATGATAGTGTCATGCTGCATTTGCATCTGGTGTCCGTAAACCACATGCTCATCCACGATGACGCACCAAACGCATCCTCTTATCTGCAGTCGGGCTGCTTGTCGAAACCAGTTTGACTTTGTGCTGTGCCAGGGTTCGAAATCCGCATGCTTCCTTCAGTGTCTGTGTAGCTACTGTGACTAGTATGTCCCAGTGGTCTGCAGGTCGTAAAAATTCAGCGGGCCTTACAAAATTGGAACTGTCAATTAAAAGATAAGCATGAACAATCTCACCTCTTGAGCGCTCGGAGAAGGACGAGTCTCTCACGCTGCACACAGCAGGCTGCTTCCCCTAAGCCACATTTAACCGAATATGCGCCACTTTGCTGTAATGAACAGGATTTGGCCTAATATCCAGGCGCCGTCTCGATCGGCCCTTGTCCTCTCTCGCGAGAAGAATTTGGATTGAGAGGGGATTATGCAGTGCCGATTAACGCCGTCAAATTACTCAGAAGGTAACAATTACTCCAGCCTACCCAGCGGAGTGTATGCTGTGTGCCGGAAGAAAAGTCACCCCTGCTCTTCTGTATGGCTCTGTTTGAAGGTTATTAACCAATCCACGGGAGTGATGTTAAGGACCCCGCCATCACGGCCCCCAGCTGTAAACATGGGAGCCCACGCCGTGTGTGTCACATGGGAGCGCACATGAGAAAACACACGGCATCCCGGATTTACACGCATGCTGCACATATACACCACCCGAGCCTGCCGCCACGTCTTGAACGCAAATCAACATGAATACACACAAAGACAAACAGTAAACGCAACAATTCTCACTCAACAAAACTCAACAAAGCATGCAAAATGCAAAAGTGAGTCAAAGCAGGCGTGACAAGCCTACAAATATCATACAGCAGTGTTGCTGCTTCTTAAATTCGCCCAATAAACAAAACAATAAAACCATTCAAGGCACGACACAGATTTCCCCCTACTGTCCAAAAATATGCACTCCGGGTGGCTCTGAATTGCCCTCAATGTGTGATCGCCTGTGCATGTGTGCCAGGTGATGGTCTGGCATCCTGTCCATGGTACACCTGCTTTGAAACCGAGGATCGTTGCGACGCCTCACTGTATAGATGGATGGACAGACTCTAGCCATTACCAGCAAGGAAGGCAGAAACCAGAGGGTGATGGATTGCACAAAAAGCAGTCAACTTCAGGATTTTTTCTAAAGCCATAAAGTGATTTGTGGTGGAGAAATCAGGCTTGGTGCTCCGTGTTGTAATATGACCTCTGAGCCACTTCTGCAGCTGTCAGGCAGGGGCGCCGTAAGGGGGAGGAAAGCTAGGACGATTCCAAGGGTCCCTGAGTGACAGGGGCCCTAAAAAATTAGGAAAATAACTGGATTGGTTTGGACTGGAGGGCCTAATATGATATGCTTTCATGGGGCCCAAAATCTCTAGCAACGCCCCTGCTGTCAGGCCTGTGTTTTCTGTGAGATGCTGGGGATCAGCTGTACTGCTGTTTTCATTCATGGACCGGGGACATCGTTGGTTGCTGTCATTTTAGTAAAGGACATGGGGGAAAAACATCCAAACAATGGCTACTATAAGTGGGCACACTTTTTAAAATAAAAAATGATCATGCTCGCACACAGAATTAGATATTCAGATTAAACTGCAGGAATATACACTCCACGCTAGATTTTAGAGAGCGTTGCTCTTTGGCTTCAAGTAGTGATAGACAAAATGATGCTTCATGAACCATTTGCCGTATTTTTGACCCCACTAGATGGTGCTCTTGGTTTACTTTGGGACATGCTTTGCGCCCTTTTTTGAACAGAGAGCACCATCTAGTGGGGTCAAAAACTACAGCAAATGGTTCATGAAGCATTGTTTTGTCCATCACTAGCTACATATAATGTATCTAGTCACTAATCCCTCTTGTCTATCTGTGTGAAGCTCTCTGCTGTTCCTGTACATCATCAGTTATGTTCAATGTCAAAATATAAAATGGAGCCCAGCCCACTTAAGCTAGCTGACCATAGAGGAAAAAATAAAAAATTATGTGAACATCTATTCCTAATAAACTCTTTTCCTAACAAGCACACAAACATAGGATGCTTTATGCTTGGCCAACAACAAACAACAAACCTCTCTCTACATGGAGAATACAACCCATTAACCCTCTTGAGGGAGAGGAGTCTAGAGATTAATTGTGGATTTCATCAGATCAGTTCTCGTCTCTTCATAAGTCCCACAAGCCAAGCATAGCACTGAGGAGTTGTTTAGAATAGCTCACGATTTCTGTGCTGCTGGTGAATCATCAGTCAAGTGCTACTGTCCCTCTCTGGTCAGTGTGAATGAAACTGGTCTCTTAACAATGCAGCTGGGATTTTGCGGTCATCGCACATACAAAATGGACCACAATGATCAGCTTCAGTCACGTCCGCTGTCTGAAACGTCTACACCCAGGCTGGCAGATGGATAGACGCATCCTGTGATTTTTCTATATCCTGATGAGGAATGATCTGTGCAGTCTGCACAAAAGAGAGAGGAACAAGGCTGATGGTCTCTCCGGCGAGGAAGAGGAGAATCAGAGACGAAGAGCTGTTCGAACAGAAAAATAGTTGGACGGTTATATAACGGCAAAGCAGTCTGAGCATGACAGCAGGAGGAGTCCTTCAAAAGGTGACCACTTCAAAAGGAGATTTGCGATAAATATTTGATGCTGAGGTAGACAAAATGTCTATTGATTTCTGCTTCTTCTTGATGTATATTATTGCATGTTGCAATCAGGGTAAAAGGTCACAGCTTTAGCTGAGAGAGTGAGGAATGGGAATGCGTTTTCTGCAATCAGACATTTTGGATTTCAGCGCTGTGCTTCTCCTGTACAGCATCTGACAGCTTCACTCTCTAAGACATATCTTCCTTATTGTCTATAAATGACTTTGAAGGTTATGGGCTGTTTTGGTGGTTCTGAAAGCGCCGTTATTCAGAATCTGAAGCTGAAAATCGACTGCGGCGCATTCTCTGAGGAGAAACACGCTACATCTGCGGGTTTCCGCACTTCTCGTCCCGCGACTTTGAGCGAGCACGTTTTCAAGGAGATTGCTCTCGAAAATATAATATTTGTTCATCCTGATATTAGGCCACACTTGACAGCTTAAAAAATGGGACTGGAGAAAAAATGACAAGGTAGCGGTAATTGGACGAGAGAGGTGGCTCTTAGAGATTTAGAGATGTCACCTAAACCACTGGGGGATGGGGGGGTTGGGAATCATCAGCCGCCACATCTCATTCGCTCAGGCAAGAGCTGGGGTGCACGGCTCGATCTGGTGACCCAAGGTTTTACAGTTCATACCCTGGATCGTGGTGTGGCACCCAATATCGTATCCAACTGAATGCTGTCAGGTCATTCTCAGGGTTGCCAGCTCTCACGCTTTCAGACTCTCACGCAAGAAATCTTACAGCAAATCTATATTATTCCATTATAAACCTAAAACTAGGGACATCAAAAGCATGTGGGTAGTTTGCAAACCCTACAGACTATTTACAGGGCAATAAAACTGTTACATACATGTAATTGCGTGTGCAGACTTGTCTCGAATTGGAAAATCCAATTGCTTATCACTCCACTGGTTACCGGGGTATTTAAGGCTAAATATCATCCTGTCCTTCAAGCCGGTGTAACCAGCATTTTTTTTTTTACAATCATCTTACAAAAACTGATCCACCTTTGCTAACTTTTCTTTTGCTCCCTTCAATCCAATTACATAACACACAGCTTCAATTATATACTTTTTGATTAGAAGATGTCATTTTATTTGATCTGTAAAATCCATTTTATACCAAAACCAATCAATGTTCCAGACATTTAAATTAGATTAAATAGATGTCGTTCCTATTGTGATAAATAACCAGTTTAAAACCTGGCTTTTAATGGTAAGAGGACAGTGAGTCAACACAAACTCTTTCGGTCTCAAAATACAAGTAAAAACTGCATTAAAACAGTATCAAACAATTCAATACAACCTCATGTAAATATTTTAGAATTTAAACACGCTTTTCTTAATGCAAAGAATAGAATGAAATTCTAATTTATACAAATTAGCCTTGTTCAAAATGTTTTATTAAACAATGTTATTTAAGCATGTGAATGTTAGATGCAATACCCATTGCCTCCATCGTCTACACTCACTAAGACATATAAATATTTGAGATTTATAATTCTGTCCTTGCAACATTCAATGCTGTAAATCCAATATGGCTACATTTTGTTAAAAACACATTATTTACAATAATTGCAATACACAAAGTATTTGGCATACTTACAACAATCTCATGTCATTTACAATTTCACAAAAAAAAAAAAAAAAAAAACTAATTTATGCAGAGAAAAGCGAAACTGGGAGACCAAACCAAAAAAGTCCCAAAGTACTGCAGTTAATACTGAATTTTCACTGAGTTAAGCAGTCAATATTGTCCACTGACGTGTTACAAAACCATGTTTGTGCACAATAAAATATTTTCAATAACGGGTAAGTGACCCGGAACAATCAGAGTACTGTTAAAAAAAAATCAGAACTAAAGTCTGTTCAGTCAGTATTTTTTTCGATTAAGTAAAACGTACTGGGGGAGGAGCGGGGGGAGAGGACACCCGTACAATCACGTAGCTAATCACCATATTAGTGAAAAGGGCAATCGGAGTTCTGCGAGCTGCGTGTTCACTTTGCGTTAAAGGAATGTATGCGTGAGGAATTGGCAGTCTGACGTCACGTGTGACCGGCGCCGCTTTATTATTAGGCGGGTGGGGGGGGGGCGCGCCGTCGGAGGTGGTCCCGGTTTGTGCTTTTGTCCGACGCGGCTGTGTCCCGGCTATTGCTTTTGCGGAGGTTCTGCGCGGCGGCTAGCCGACCGCTCGTATTCCGTGTCGCGCACAGATGGGGGGGTAACTACGATTGTGCGTCATTAGAAGATCGGCTCGGGAGAGAGCGCCTGTTTACTGGAAATCTGCGGGTCCCATTACAGAAACGCGTAAAGGTTCCTTTGGCACAACACTTGGTGAAAACCAGGCGGATCTGCAGTGTGGGGCCACGGGGAAGGAGGGTTGGTAGATTCTAGGCTATGATGAAAGACACAGAAGAAACCTCTAGCACCTTTTAGCCATTGAGGACAATATAGTAGCTTTTCCGATGTGTTTCAGGGTTTACTGGAAACCTTCAAAAATAATGAGACTCTAATAAGGCAAAAACCTGTTATTTTTCCAACTCATATATACATGTATTTGAACATTTCATTGATCACCAATCCTGTACTACTATGTAAGAGTGTGTTAATCCGAGATGCACTAAGAGGTGCAGTAAATATATTTACAGCCCTCTTAAAAAAAAAAAAAAAAAAATCACTTCTACTTCTATGTCTAAATCCGTACTGTCCTAGAACCTTGGGATTACCCAACCAGAAAGTGCATAGCGTGCCATTGGTTGCCACCAAAAGGGAGGCGCTATAGCTGAGACACCTTCCTCGGTAGGGGCCTGGGCCGCTGGATGGGTTCTGGTCGCCGGGGCTCTGAGTCCAGTTTGGTGCCACGGAACTGGTGGGGCTTGGGAGGCAGGGCAGGCGGGGCGATGGGGGGCGGGATGGAGAGGCTGTGGGGGAGGGGCACCGGCCGGCGCGAGTTGGTGCGCTCGTACACGCTGTACGGCGGCGGAGTCTTGTTCCCAGGTCGCGAGAGCTCGTCGGACCCGCCGGACACGGAGGTGCTGAGCGTGCCAGTGGGGGCAGGGTCGCCGGGGGGTGGGGCCTCCAGGCCCGAAGTGTCTGACACGCTGCAGCGACTCAGCGAGGAGATCCCGCTGCTGTAGCTGCCCGACAGCACCGGCGAATTGGACACCAGCCCCCCCGAATGGCACTCGGTCGGGGAGGGAGTGTAAGGGGGCACTGAGCTCTGCGGGGGGGGGGGGGGACAAGAGAGTGGGCCATTAGGGCTGAACTACACAGCGGCAGCCAAGCACAGCCCAGTAACACTGTCACCACAGACAGATGAATGGGTCCTGGATGACCAAAGAGATGGGAGTCTGCCACTGAGTGGCATTCATAAGAGCAGCATCCACAGAGAACACCACAAACAATAATAATACCAGGATGGGAAGAAAGATCGCTCGATCCTGTCGATCTGGTTCTGCCAGATTTGTATATCCCATAATACAATCCCTCACTTCTGGCAACACGGCTCTAGCCGAATTGCCGCGGTGCGTCCGACGTTTCCGTTTAGGCGCCCAGAGAGCCCAGCTGCCTCCTCCAGGCGCGTTTCTGCTCTGCCTGCTGCCTCTGGGCCGGACTGCTGTGACCTTTTCCGCCCTCTAGTGTTTTAGCCGAGTAAATGGACAATTATCCATATCTCACGGGGTAAGAAAAAAAAGGAAGGGGGGGCGGCGGCAAGTAATCAATGTTCGCAGGGAGACAAGGACAGTGAAAGAATCCCAATACAGGCGATTAGGCCCAGATTTAGCGTGGCCTGACAAAGGGATTGAGAATTTTTCTCATTGCTCGGTGACGACGTTGGCTGTTACCCATCAGACCTGACACTAACGAGGGTAACGAGCAGAGTACCTGCTCTCGGGCTGCCTATCGGGGCGGCTTCTCTGAGAGCAGATGGGCTTGGCCAGCCTCGCTCTGCAGCACATGGCCGCCACATGCGCCCATCACCATTAAGCGTTTGGATTCATAAGCATGCGGAAACAGCAGGGATCACTGCACCGCGCGTGCAGCCGCGGTCTGGCTGCCCGTATCCCACAATCCACCGGGGCATCCCGAGACGGAGCAGGGCATACCTTTTGCGGAGACCTGGGGATGGGGACAGGGGACAGGGACCTCAAGTTCCTGGCAGGTGAACCTGTTCACAGGGAAGAGGGAGAGAGGGGGAGGGAGAGAAGGAGGTGAAAATGGCCGACGAAGGCGGACGTCATGCTTGAGACCCAATTGCATGCAGGAGCCGCGACGGAGCTGAGGGCAGGAAGGGAAGGAGGAGGCGCGTGTCAACGCTGCAGTGCTGTACCAAGCCCTTTAGCATTAGCATGTTAGCAGGCAACATGCATCGCAAGCCTGTCACATGGTGGGTGGGGGTGCTGCACTATTAAAAGTCGGTACAGCTTGGTTCAGCTCTGACAGCAAAGCCGTTATACTGGGGGGGGGGGATACGATGAGGCCTCCCTTTCCTTGATCGTGGATTTAATGGAGCCTTGAGGTGGCCTGGAGATAAATGTGTAAAAGAGCCTAAGAACACTGATCCGCAGGGCAGCGCTGGGATTAAGGCCTGTGGATGAACGAGCACTTATGCCTGCGGTTTACATGCTACGTCCTTCATGCTAATATCGCATTATTTTTAGCATGCGGTCCACAGCCCCACGCATTCGGATGAACCAGGCCACCCTCAACAACGAAGGCGGTGTTTCTAAGGAGTTTGTGAGTGGCTAGAAACTCCCGTGTTTTCACTGCAGCTGAAGGTGAGGCGCAACTCCAGACAGCGGCAATCGATAGGGGAGTACAGGTCTGCGTAGACGTAGGGCCGGCCCAAGCCTTTTCGGGACCCTTAGCAAAATTTGATTAACCTAGTCGTTTGTCATCTTCCTTCCAGTTCTGACAGGATGATAGGATGTGAGGATCCCCAGTGGCCCCTGGGCTCCATGCAGCCGCTTAGTTTGCTGATGCCCTGGACCGGCCCTGCGTACGAGTGCCCGGCGGCTGAACCGATGACGTTGAGGAAAGCGGGAGAGGCGTGTAAAAGCATGAGACAGCAGCAGGCGAAGCCAGGCACAGCGAAACAGCAGCAGATGATCCCAGCCAATGGGTGCAAGTCAGTGGCAAGGGTGGGAAATGCTAGCAGCGGCTGCGAAGCTCTCCGTCGGTGTTTACCTGTGTACGGTGGCCTAGGAGGGACGGGGGGCGATATCAATTTCCCGAGCGCATCTGAATACTGCGTGTTAGCCTCTTTTGGACTGTCTAGATTCCAGGTGCACGCAGTGGGGCTCAGGACTTCACAAAAGACACACGAGGAGAGTGCTGTCAGTTACGGCTAGTCACCAGCAACCTGGAAGAATTATCACTTTACCCAAACGATGCATAGCCACAGCGGACAGCAAGGTTAGCTACTAGGGGACACGATTATGGCTCTGACTGATGCCTGACCACCCCCTGCTGGTGCATTTTAAGACGACACCTCTGAGGAGGATCTGTGCTGGTTCTCTGCTTGAGCCCCCCACCCCTAAGGCATTAGCTATCTTCTGAAGGTAACCCATCTGCGCCATTATCCAGCAAGGCATGCAGGAACGCTGTGGGGCAATTTTTGAGGGAAAATATGCCTACAGGTCAAAGGTCAAGGGGGGGGGGGAACCCTATTACAGCCAGTGCCTCCACCCTGCCCCACCCCCCTAACAAACCTCGCCACCGAGTAGAGAGCAGCTAAAATTAAGAATTAGCCCTCATCTGTGGAGCGCGTGTGGAGGGGGCATTTGGAATCAGCCTTTTACATAGATGAGTTCTCCAGCGCGCTGTGCGGTTCTGAAATTCTCAATGGGGCGGTTCCTCTGCCACTGGTGCAAATTAAAACCCGTCGGCACTGTGCATTTGTAAAAACCTTCAGATCGAGACAAGGGACAGATTTACGCACTTATAAACAACAGTAATATCCAGCTTTGGCCAAAACAAAAACACAATTTAATAGGGAATATCTTAACACGTCTAAAAGGTCCCCAAGGTCGTTTTTACACCGACAGTCCACAGTAAGAAATGAACCCTCTGGCAGGCAGGGGCCAGCGAGGGACTGTATAAATGTTCCAGTGATGCAGACCAAAAGATTCTGTTCATTTCCCACAATGCACTCCCTCAAATTAACAAACTCATTCATTGTTAACAAATCAATTAAAAGGGAGAATCTCGACTTGCATTTACAAATTGCACCCAATGTAAGCGAGAATCCAAATGTTTATTTATTCACTGGTGATGATGATGCTGATGATGAAGGACAGCCTTACCTTTCTCGGGTGCTGGTTGGCTCGGGTCACTCCGAGGTAATGAAGAATTGCTTATAAGTTGTGGGAGCGACCTCTGGGGGGCAGAAAAGCAGCATGGTTAAATCATACGCTCTTAGGGTTCATCTTCTGCCACCTGTAGTGGGGTGACAAAGTCCGGATGTCCTACTTTGGGCTTTCTTCTGTTGGGGATGTGAGTTTATGGGCTTTCAGTCACACTCCCCTGTACCAGCCATGTGGGACACAGTCTCACCTGTCCTGGGTCCAGGGGCATTGGGAAGCCAGTGCTGCAGGGTCTATCCCGGGGGGAGAAGCAGGAGTTTTCCCTGGAATGCTTACTTTTGTCAGATAGCAGCGGGGAGCCTGGGGAGGAAGCTTCAGATGGTGACGCGTGACACACGACACCTGCCGTACGGCACAGGGACACGGGACAGACACGCAGGCTGGCGTACCTTCAACAGGTGTCTCGGAAACGCTGTCGGTGACCGAAGACGGCCAATTACATACTGACGCTTGGTCGCCGGGGGCTCCTTCAAGGGGAAACGACCGTTGGCAGGTTTTTCATTCCGACACAGAGTCCACCAGGTGGAAAATTTATGGATTAGCTCAGTGTTCAGCTCATAACAAACGCTTTATACTCAGTATGGCTGCTCAAGCTCTCCTAGATGTCCACAGCTACTTGAAATTGAAGGACTTGCTAAGTGTGATCAGATGTCAACCACTTGCTTAACAGACGTTCTCACAAGAACGATTTCCCATCATGCCTTGCGCACTACTTATCTTAGAGTGGACAAACAGCAGCTAGAATTATAACTGATTTTAAAAGCAAATTAGCAGCTTCAGTGTAGCGATGCAGGGCTTTTGAGGAATGCGGGGACTGCAGGAGAGGTGTAGGGTCCTTACACCAGGAGGGTAACTCTGAGTGAATGGCAGGTCAGCAAAAATGGCTTCAGTTCAGAAGCAAGTGTGGGAGGCAGGAGGGGGAAGGGTCTGACCTCGGGCGTTGGATGGAGCGGCGCCGGTCACGTTGGGGGAGGCCGAGTGGCTGGAGCTCAGACTTGAGGTAGACGGACTTGGCTACAGTTGCGGGGGGGCAGGCATACTTGACATTAATACATCATATCAGTGGCCCTGACTATTACACGGCTGATGTGTGGGAACTGGTCTGCACTAGCATTAATCAGAAGACCAGCAAAAAGTCTCCAAAGAAACTGATTTGGGCCAAGGCGACCCGGAGCACGAGCCGGCAGAGAGCCCCCTAGTGGGCGTGGCCGGCAAGAGGGCAGACCTGCATGTTGAAGACCTCGTCCGAGCTCTCCGACTGGCCCGTGATGTTGCTCACTTCGTTGGAGGCCTGCGATGACAGCGAGGACGACGAGTACCGGTTGCCAGCTGGGTAGCTGAGGGGACTGTCGGCATGGCAACAGAGGAACACAAGGATACAGGGTTATTCAGAGCGTGGGGGGGGGGGTACCAACCGAATTCTCGTGTATCTGTAATCTTTAAGGCATAAGACCAAAAATGGATACTTCTTGATTTATGTTTTTCTTTTGAGCTAAAATGCCTCCCACATGCCGCAGTATAGAAAGACCCCAAACCCATTACATTCGTTTCATATAGCAGATGCTCTTTCCCAAAACAATGTATAATTGATAGAGCAGGCATCAACCAGCCCCTGGAGCAACTGGGATTAAGGGTCTCGGCTCAAGGGCCCAACAGTGAATTCACTCAGCTGGCCACGGGATTTGAACCAGCAACTTTCCGATCACAGGGTCACAGCTAATAGCTGGCGAGGGTGGGGGATGTGTCTTCACCTGCGCCGAGCCACCACACGGCCGCCGTCCGGGCTGATGGCGCTGGGGAGGGAGCTCCTACAGCCACGCGGGCTCCCATTGATGAAGGGCAGGGGGTTGGCATGCACGTAGGCCGGGAACTCCTGCCGGAGAAGGAGGAGGGAGGAGATGAGAGCGAGCAGGAGAGAGGAGGTGCCAGCACTCACTCTGAAAGCCTGCCGTTGCATAGCAGCAGTTTCTGTAGTTACGGGGAGGCGGGAACGGCTGCAGGCGATGGGCTGTTATGAAACTCAAGCCCTGAACCAGAGGTTTGCATGTAGCTGAGTGCCGAGATGTCAAGCAGAAACAGACATAATGTAAGATCACATGGGTGTTTGGGGGGTGGGACGAGAACATAGACCCACCTGGATTCCCAAACTCGTCTTCATCACGTGGAACTGATCCACCAGCTTCTTGTGCAGTGGCCGCATGTCCTGGGGAACGACTTTCTCGTGCACGGCCAGACCGTATTCCAGGATGTGTGCCTGGGAGACAAACAGGACAGAACGGTCAGCAGGGGCAACAGTAGTTAAGGAAGTGAACTTGAAACCAGAGGTTCACACGATACACAGGTGCCATCCCCTTAAAACCGACCTGACCAAGCTGGGGAAAGTGGCTGACTCTATAGAAACTGCAAGATTAATGACTGCCCCCTACAGGCGGGTGTGTGACACGACCGCGGAGATGTGTCTGGCCCACCTGCTCGAACATGAGCTCCCTCAGCCGCGTGATCTTCTCGCCATCTTCCGGGTGGCTTGCCACGTAGTCCTTCCCAAAGAACGCCTGTGGGGAGACGAACAGACTCTCTCAGCCATTCCCACCCCCTGCCCCGATCCCCCCCCCCCCACACACTGTACACGGGTGGCACTGGGAACTCAAGGACGTGTCGACAGCACGGTGGAGGGCTCTCACACGCTCCCTGCCAGCCGTGGCTTACCGCTAAATCCGGCTCAGGCCTCACCCGGCGGGACGTTTAATGAGCGCCGACAGGCTTTTTACTGCCCACACAAAACCAGAGCTTCATTCTTGCGCGGTGAACTCTAACGCCACATGCTGGAGGTTCGTGGGAATTGCCTGCGTCTACCACCATTTGCTGTGATGTTGCGCATTTCATGAATAAACTTTGATTCGATTTGATGTTGAACAGAGTTAAGAATATGGTGGTAGGACCATCCCAAAGCTGAATGAGACATCTCCCTGTTCCCGCTGTTGAAAGGAATGGAACCAAGTGATGAGATAACTCACCCAACATGATGTCATACATTTTACCCTAATCATGTGACTTTACCTTAATCATGTGACTTATGAGTGGATGTTTTGGTCCGTACCAGCCAGGGCTGCTGGTGGAATGACTACCGGTCCTTATTCCCTCTTTATGCCACCAGCAGCAAAAGCGTGGACCTCGAAGACTTTTCCGGAAAACAGAGATTCAACTCAAAAGTCAGCACTGGTGTTTGAGGCTCAATTAACTGGCCAATCAAAAGAAAAGTCAAAATGCAGAGCTGTAATCCGTTATAAGACGGTGACACTGCGAGGTGAGAGACGGGAGATCAAAAGGACCGGCGTGAGATTCAGGGCCCCACGTTTGCTCCTAAACCCGGCACTACACCAGGCGGTCATCATTTGGGACCTGCCCCACCGTGCCGATCAAGTGGAGTCACATCAAACTGCGGTGGAAAAGTAGTGTGGTGACACTCCTGCCCGCGGAGATGTCAGCTGGCTCACCGAAATTGTCATAATGACACTCGGCCCCCGTGGATGGAGAGAATGGGATGGCGCTCCCTACAGGTTAACTGGGGATCAGCGGGTAGGATGCTAACATTCTCGCACCAAAAAGAAGCACCGTGAAGCTTTCGTGGGCGTGGCTGCAGCTACGAGAGAGGTTCTCCGGGGCTGAGGACCGGATCACGAAGATATATTCTTGGGCACCCGAGGCTCTCACCTCCTGGTAGCGGGCGAGGCCCCCGTTGACTGCGGCATCGATGACACCGTTGAGGCACATGGTGAGCGGGCTGACACTCTGGCCTTGTCGCGCCTGGCACTGTGCGATCAGAGTGCGCAGCTGCAGGTTCTTGTTCTCCATCACCTCGATGGCGTTCTCCAGTGGGCTCACCTCCATCTAGAACACCCACAATGCCTCAGTGCTCTCGTTGCAGCCTCCACTCTCCATCCAGTTTGCATTTCGGTTATTTTTAAAGGGAAATTAATCACCTAGAGCAGTGGTTCCCAATCCAGTCCCTGGAGCCCCGCAGACTTTCCGCGTTTTTGCTCCCTCCCAGCTCCCTGCCAGTCAGTCCACATTTTTGCTCCTACTAGGAGCTGGGAGGGAGCAAAAATGTGGACTGTCTGCAGGTCCCTGAGGACCAGACTGGGAAATACTGGCCTAGAGTCAAGATAATTAAGGAAAACGGTTGCAGAATGGGGAACGATCTCTACCAGAACATTTTAGCATGAGAGAAGCTGAAGAGTCTGTACACATTTTTAAGGCCTGTATTCAGGCGTCAAACACAGGCTACATTAAGAGCACTCAGAAGGGCCCTTTGGATGTTCTCATCAGAGGCAGATACTCACCAGATCCCTCTTGTCTACCTCGAACCAGCGAGAAATGCCCGGTAAGCTCTGCACCAGTGTTAGCGTTGTCCTCTCCACCCACAGGCTCTACACACACACACACACACACACACAGTTACTGAGAGCCTTTCCATGTACCACTAACACTCCTGAGATTCCATCCACAACCTATCACTACACTATTATGTATAATTAAATCTATATTCAAGGCCACAAAGAGATAGATGCTGATCAAAGCGCTTTATGTCTAACAGTATAACCACCGGGGAGCAGGATGAGCTCAGGATAGGGGGCTCACCAGCAGTCCATCTGAATGGGTAGATGGATAGACCATAGATAGATGGAAAGGATGGATGGATTGTAGACAGATGGAGGAGTTCTCTCGCTACACACCTTGAATTCATTCTCCTTGTCCTTGGTGCCCTTGTGGAAGGGTCGGTCGTAGCGGAAGCGCCAGATGTGGTTAACCTTGTAGAAGCTCTTGATGTTGTCTGCCACGCCTTCTCTCTGAAGCACGTCCTGGGCCTCAGGGATGGGGCTCACGGCGTAGATCTGCAGGTCTAGAGTTGCTGCGGTCAAGGGAAAAACACCCACCTGCCTCTGCCTATGAAAATTCCACCCCCCAGGAGAAGCTTGAGTTTTAAGACCCAGACTGACAAATACATTTGCATTGTATTTACTTAGCAAATGCCTCAATCCAAAGGTGACATACATTTTTGAGAAAGCAGAGTCAGACTGGGGATTAAGGTCCTCGCTCAGGGGCCCAATGGTGACATCACTATGCTGACCCGGGATTTGAACCAGTGACCTTCTGATCATAGACACAGCATCCTAGCCCGCTTTGCCACAAACAATAGCCCCGCCCCCCGCAGGTAAGATGCAGTGCCAGTGAAGCGGGGCAGCAGGGGCCCACAGGACGCCAAACACTGCAGACAGTTGATTAATCGTAAACAAAGATAACAAAACGCCACACTAATGCAGTCTGACTGGCCTCCTCCGGTATAATTGCACCCAGGAGGAAGACGCATCTCCGGAGCACGACTCCTAGAAACAGCTGTCCCATCCATTGGCCCGCATTTGCATAACGGACCTCGTCATAAAACACGCCGGCAAATTTGAAGCAGCCATCGATTTATCTCTGCCCGTCGGCACTGCTGGGAGCGACCCTCATCGCAGGAATACAAATGTCAGATTACAGCCCCGATAGTCCGACAGCTTCGCAAGTCTGAAATATATAGGTTTGTTTTATTATGAATACAATGATGGTTGCTATGAGCCTGCAGCACACACCCACGTAGCTACACATGCAGTGGTTTTGCTGCCGCGGTTTCGTGCTCTCCTGCGGTCTTTGTTAAAGGCCACAGTGTATTAAGACGTGCTTGGCATTTTGGCGTGAATCGCATTAATATCATTCTTGTACGTAGAGCGCATTGCGTTCTGAAGGATTTCTGGGGGTTTCAATTCATGCGCCGTGGTGTTTTGGGGTGTGACGCGCCATCTGGGGCATCCAGAGGCCTCGGGCATTCAGCCAGGAGGATACACTGCGCCTCGGCCTGGGAGATGGTCTCGTCGGGCTGGTTGACGTGCTGCATGGCGATGGCCTGGGGGAACTCATTCAGCATGCGCTGCTGGAAGGCCTCCAAGCGCTCATAGTCGTGGCCCCGGCAAACAAACTCCTTGTTCTTGTGGGAGGAAAAGGAAAGGCCCAGGCTTCAATCTGAGGCCTACACTCAGTTCCAGTCAACCAGGGTCGCTCAATAATCATCCTTAGACACATGAACGATATGCATGGCGGACAGGCATGGAGACACCAACCATGAGTGACACTGAGAAACATCTGCCAAACCTTCACCACCAAAGGCCAACTAGTGGGACCCCACCACCGAGAGCCACTGTGGCCAGGATCCTCTGAGGTCTGTACCCGGCCAGGGGAGCTAAGAGCCCAAGGCAGGACAACTTCATTTAGTGCCGTTTGTCTGTACCAGTGCCTACAGACCCTCGTCCCATCAGGCTTCCTGCAGCTCAGACAGGAGGCCCCTCCCACCAGCTAATATCCTAATTAATCAGCGACTCATCCAACAGGAGCACTTTAGCTTTGGTTGACGTCCAGGCCCTTGTTAAGGGCACTGGCAGAATAACCAGCTGCAATGATGCTACATGTAGCTTCATATCATCAGTCCATCTGTTAATAGTGCAGCTTGTTGCAAAACGCGTGATCATTTCTGCTGCTGCCCTCACTGTCTTTGCTGCTGGCGCCACCCGATGGGCATTTGTGGAGTTGCTCAGGCAGCGAGTGCACATGAAGTAGTAGAATGCGAATGGCGGATTCTGCAGTCCTTGAAATTTCTTATTTAATATTAAATAGCCGTGACCTTAAGGTGTGGTGGTGGGGGGGGGGGGGGGGGGGGGGGGCAGAAGGCTTTCATTTCAGTTTGCTGGCCTAAACCAAAATGAAAGCTACCATTTAATAAAAGATCGGGATCAGAGTTAAATTTCACACAGCTGCTCCACAGAGCCACCTGCAGGACGTAGTGGGTATGGCACCATTTTTTGCCATTGTATTAAAAAAAAAACAGGTTTTACTTTGTGAAGGTGCCTCGTATTTAGTTGTAAACATACATATACTGCTGTGTTTTCACTCACCCTTAAAAAGAAGGGAAACTTCTTGCCGTAGAAGCCAACTCTGAAAAACTCTGGCTCCAACCTCTGCTGGTCCATGATTTTATCGTACAAGGAGGCCTCCATCATCTGCCAGAGCCAAAACAAAGGGGAGGTATTGCTTGTCAGAGGCCATGTTGGTGCCAGCTGGGGATGCAGCGACATATCGGAAGGTTCTACTCTCACGCCTCAGAAAACACACTTACCCTCATCTTGCTTAAGTTCCTGTAGTCATAATAAGCCTCATACTGATCTGCCAGCTCCCGGCACAGTATGATGGCATTCTCCCAGCACTGGAAAAGTGTTTTCAAAAACATTAGCATACAAATAAGCCAAAAGGACAAACCACACACTGTGATGTCATTCACTGGCCGTTTTGTCGCCTAGCTATACAGCACTGCCAATTCCTGCCACTTGGTGGCAGTGGCTGACAACGTGATTTAGGCCACCGGCTGCGAGAAAGCCCTTTCCCTCGCACGCTCCCTTGCAATCTCGCTAATTAAATGGAGGATTTTCTATCCTGCTGCTCTACCCCCGGAGCAGCGGCGGTCGCAGATGGCCCTAATGATGTGTTCACCGGAGAAATGAGCGCTGCAAACTGACAGAAACGCCTCTAATTGGAGGTGCAGACACACGACTCACGCAGTGTGTTTCTCATCTTGGGACGCTCAAGGTCATTTGAGTCTCCCGCACCTGGGGAGGGAGGGAACACAGGGCCTGTCCATTTCAGAGATAGAGGATTCGGGTCGGCATGTTCGCCTCTTATGTTTAAGGATATAAATCGACCTGAATCCGCAAAGGGTCCTTCTGATCAAAAGATGGGCTCTCGGTGCCAAGGATGACGCTCAGCCCTCGCTGGAGAGGGTCACTGAGTCAGAAGTCAGCTTAGACGACTCCCACTAATTCTGAAGATAGGTGAGTCACCCACAAACCGAGCATCTGCTCCGCAGACCATGTGACCGAGTCGCACATCCCACCCGTATCCGCGACTACTGGCCATCCGGACATCCACGGACCCGGTGGTCGGACGCGTCCCCCACCTTGCCGCGGTCGAAGTTCTGGATGATGGTGAGGTGTAGGGTCTCCTTGCGCTGCCACTCCGTCTGCATGGGGTAGCTGAGGAACTCGCGCAGAGGGCGCTCCGACCACTCGAGCAGCTCGTCGTACAGCAGCAGCGTATAGGAGGCCTCTGGGAACACACACACCCCCCGCCCCCGTCACCGCTTGGCCACGCCCACCCTCTCACCCAGCCCATTCATAATCCGTGATAAGACCAGCAGATTGTATCTTAACAAGTGGAGTATTGTGCTAACAATGCAAACATACTGGGTTCAAATCGCAAGGAGCGCACAAAAACTCTAACCCATCTTTTTACTGTAAATTGGATAAAAGTGACAGATAAAGGAGTAAAAATGTCAAATAATATTTATATTCCACTATCATCCGTTTGAACCATTTTATTACAGAGGAGCATGTTAAGGGATTTCTTACTGGTTGCTTAAAAGTATTCATTTAAATAAAAAATATCATATAAATTTTTCCTCATTTCCCAGTGCTAAAAGCATAGATTGTCGTCTGATTAATCAGATAATGGGAACCAGCAGGGGGCAGTGTTCACTACCTGTATAGTTCTGCGCTTTCAAATGGAGGTCGTACAGCTTGTGGATGTAGCGGATGTACATCTCCTCTTTGTTCAGCTCAGTTTTGTAGAAGTTCTAGAAGTGATGGGGTTGGGGGGGGAATAAAACACAGAGATGGTCATGTGATCTTCTCCACAGAGCAACACTCAAGCCACCCACACGCGCGGGAGCTGAACAGTTGCATTACGGGAGCACAAGTGACTCAACAAGTGACATTAGCGTGTGGGAGGCGGCTGGCACAGGCGGGGGCAGGGAGCTCAGAGCAGACCCTGGGCCCACGCTGAATGGAGCCCCCGAATCACAGATAGCCAGGGTAATGACGGCACTCGAAAAAGGCTGGGTCCTTGCTGTGACATTTAAACCCCCCTCCAACCACCACCACAGGACCCAGGATGGGTGTTAAAGTAGCAGCGCTTTAGAAAAGGCTGTGGTTCCCCTTTCTGAAAGCCGACAGAGCCACAGAAACACATGAACGCAGCGAGTAAGACTGTAACGGCGAGGAGGACCGCCAACTGACCAGGAGGCTGACGGTGCAGCCGATCTTCTTCCCGTCCACCTCGCCCGACTTCATGCAGTCCCTGTTCGTGAGGCAGGGACGCAGTCAAACACTGACAGAGGGAAAAGGGGTGAGGGCAGGATGGTAATGGAGACGCGGTGGGTTTTGGGGGGGGGTGGGGGTTGCGGGGGACTGGAGTAGACCTGTAGTCCAGGAGTCGCTCCATGAGACGTGTGACGGTGGCGATCAGAGAGACGCCGCTCTCCCTCCATGTCTCTCGTTCGATCTTCTTCAGAAGGCTGCAAGAGACGCACAGACACGCACACAGAGATGCACACAGAGATACACACAGATACACACCCACAGACCCGCAGACACAGATACACACCCACCCACAGCCACAGACACACACACACATGCACAAACACACGCACACAAAAAGAAGGCTGTCAGGTCCCTGAGGGCACAGACAAAACTGTTACTGTCCTTAACAGATGAGTATACACACAACACACACACACATAGGGGTTGCAGTACTCCGAGCATGCACAGACATGCACAGATACTCACTCACTGCTCATAGCTAAATGCCCTCAACAGACGCTCACATATGCAAACACATAACACCATCTGGGCCATCAGCGACCCTGGGCAAGTGCCAACACCTCCCAACCAGTAGGGGGCACCATGTCAATCCCTCTGTCACATCCAATTCTATAGCAGGCAGCGAGCAGGGTGGCATCTTACCTAGGGTAGGGCCCAAACAGGGGGATTCTAATCCAGGAAGCATTGGTAGGACAGATTCATTTTAATATATTAATATCAACACACACTCACACACGTTAGTACAGTGTTAGTATTGTTAGTTGGAGAGAAACAAAAGCAAGGACAAATAATGGAATCTTCTAGAAGCAAGAGGAAGTAATCTGTTGTCATGGTTCACACTCAATGAGGAGCTGATGGCGGTGTCACTGCGGTGACATTCAAACGCTTTGAGGATATTAGCAAAACTGCCCTACAGCTAACAGAAGCTAGGGCAGGGTTTGCACAGAAAGTCACTGGAGTGGGTGATGAAGACAAAACGGTGGATAACAGTGAAGCAGCGCTGCAGGGGATGCAGTGTGCAGTGTGCAGTGTGCAGGACAGGAACAGAGAGAAAATGCTTGAAATGTTTGTTGCGGTGGAGCTTACAAGCAGCCAGCTACAAAACCCTCTCCAGTAGTGATTAGACTCAATGCTATGCACACACACACACACACACACACACACACACACACACACATATATATATTTTTTTTATTCTGTACTGATCATGTCAACTTGGAATCACAACGGTATCCATCCTGTTGTCATCCCGGCACAAGAATACTTTATTAATAATAAAACCATGCAATAATCCATAAAGTCACATCAAAACAATATTAAAAAATGAATAAAACCAACAAATGTGTAATTAATTAAAATAACTGTGGTCATAAAAACAGTTAAGCCGTCATATTATAAATTACAGCTCCAATAGCTCAGTGTGACAGCAGCGACCAACACAGGCATGGTCACATGATCACTCACACGGCCAAGCCAGCCTCAGTCCAAGGGGGGGGTGGATGTTCACCTGAGCTATTAATTAAATGACCACATCCCCTACCCCCACCTATTTCCCACAGCCACCAGTCACACAGAAACCACTCGCAATGCCCATGATAGGTGAGCGTGAATTCAGTGACACAAATCTGCTCTCAGTTTTCACATTAATGCACAGAGGTCAGCCTTGGTCCTTATGCATGCATTGCACATTTGTGAAGGAACATGTGTCAGACACAGAGGAGGATGCGGCCTGGTGATGTAACATCACACTGTTTAGGACACCAGTATGGTATGAAGGCAGTATAGTTTGCACACAATGCACATTTTATACAGCACGTAACACCAAGGCACCAACAATGGAATAAAATTAAATATTACCCATAAAAGGCTAGATCCACACTGCTACATTTTAATTTAAAAACACAGACATTAGCTTCCATTTTCAGCTTTGCAGTGTGGGTGAGTGAAAGCGGAGACTTATGAAAAAGCAAACTTTAAAAGCACCCTGATTGGTCCCTACTCATCACATGACCTTTCCCTGATTTGATCCCGCTACTTAAAACCTCTCATTGTCTGATTGCCCCCTGGTCACCCTACGCAGAAGTAAACAGTGTCCCAACATGGCGGATACACAGAAACTGTTACCAGCGCTCGTCACTACAGCATCCGAGTCAGTCGTGGATGTGAGTCACGCATGTGCCAGCATTGAAGAACAAATGCAAAAACAACTAAAAACAAACTAAGACGAAAACTAACCAAAAGCAAGCCAAATACAAAAAACCTGTATATGTCCAGTTCCTGTGAGGGGCTTTGCCAGTGTCAAAACAGACAATTAAAGGTAATCAGCCATTTTATGGAATTTTATGCAAATACATGACATGGTCCTTAACTTTCTATAATTGTTAAGGGTACAGGTTTGGCAGATGATCCAAAGTCCTTTATTATTTGAATAGTTTACTGCTTTAATAGTTTATTATGGTTGACTCAGATTGGCAGTGCATGTGCGACTGAAGTCCACGGTTGACTCAGATCCTGCAGTGACAGCAGTGTCGCTAATAGGTAAGCAGCATGTTATACAGTGTGACACTGCATATGTGCGTAAAAAGAAACAAACTCACTGGTCATTGTGTCGACGGGTGCATGCCCAATGTACACTAATAGCTATGTCTAATGCGTTTGGGAGCGATGTGAAAACGCCTGTGTGAATGGAGATAGTCTTCAGCACTAGGTGTGAATGCATGAAAGCCCTCGGTACCTGAGGCTGTGGTTTGTGTGGGGCAGGTAGGAGGTGACTCACATGCTGTTGAACAGTTCCCGGTACGTCTCGTCCCCCTTGCCCTCCGACATCAAGCTGTCCAGCTTGTCGATCAGCTTGGCTTCCACCTGCAGACACCAAACCCACTGGTGAGTGTCTCGCACGTGCCAGACCACCTTAAACACGAGCGCACTGGGAAACGCATGCAAATGAACAACGCACATCTACACTACACTGCTGCACAGAGGAAAAACACCATCACTGCGTATTTAATCAAAACGGAGTTATGACCGAAACTGGGTCTCTTAGGCTCAGTTTTAACTCGTGACAAAACATCTTAGTTCAACTATGCTCAGATTTTTTAAATACAGGAGTTCCTTGCTTTAAAATTGTTTGATTGACAATATTATGACTTTATGATGGAGCGTTAGCGATACATGTTCAGTATTCATCAAACTTATAATCTTGATCTGTTTCTGGACCAGCGATATGTCGTACGATACTTTCTACTGATGCCGGGCGATGTCAGCAACCACTAAGCCACGCCTCCAGCGTCTGAAATGATCGCCAACATTTCATACAGTGCGTCTCATACAGTGCGTCTCATATAGTGCGTCTCATATAGTGCGTCTCATACAGTGCGTCTCATACAGTGCTTAACAATGTATCTTACTGTGCTTTTATTCTGTGTTTAACCACATTTTTCCCATGTCCATTATATCCACTAAAGACCCAAGCGTGTCTCCTGTTCTTCTGAGAAGAAAAAGAGGACAGCAATGACTTTGTAGGTGAAATTTTAAATAATTGCCCAGCTTGAAGGCAGCAATTATTTCTGTAATAACTTATTTAGTGACAGTAGTAATTTACTTAATTATTTATCATACTTATATTTGATTTACTAAATTTTTGGCTTATGAAGGGTTCACCGGAACGTAACCCACAGCCAAAAAAGTCAGAAGCCCCTTTATTCAGTGTCAGCGTAGCGTCTGTTATGCTTTTGTAGGGCAGAATAATGTACCTGAAACCAATTCAAACCATAATGTCACAGTTGAAAGAGCTTTGTCTATTTTGACAAGGTAGTTCTGAGCCAACCCAGAAGGAAGGCTGGATCGACTGTGGTGAAGGAACCCCATGAAACGTCCGCAGGCAGCAGAACCGCAGAGAGCAGAACCTGCAAGTCCTTGGCCTACAGTCAGGTGGGCTGTGTCCTGCAGGCACACCGAGATCTCATGCGTCTGCCGCACCTGTTTGAAGTTACCGCTCCTCCTCTGCTCCCAGTCCATCATGTCATGGAAGATGGGGATCATGACGTTGCGGAGATCCTGCTGGGGCACCAGTGTCACCTCCAGGAAGGGGCCGATCATGGCTGGGATGAAGTTCAGCTTGTGCTCTCCTGGGAAGACCAATAAGCACCTGGGTTAAACACAACCTCGCTTGCCTGATATATCAGAGCACGAAAAATCACAGCTATGTACCACTACAGCACAGAACCCATTTCTATGATCTGATGGGGTCCTGTAGAGACATGGTACCACACATGGTATCTCGATGACGGACATCTGAAGCAATTGGGGGTTAAGGGTCTTGCTCAGGGGCTCAACAGTAAAATCCATGGTTAAAGACATGGATTTATAACCTGAAGATCAACATTTTAAGTTCAAGCAGCAGTCCAGGCCCAAGGCATCAACAAGCAGTAAAATCTCCAGCTACATCAATAGGTCAAATCGAAAACTGAACTATGAAAGGAAATTTCTCACCTAAATTCTGCCACATGCTGAAGATCTCGCAGCCCATCATCACCCGCATGTCGCCGTACCTTGAAGCATGGGAGACACACACACACACACACACACACACATCATCCACACAGGTTATGTGAAGACAGGCTCAGGTGGCCGAATATCACTGTGCTGATCCCTGCGTACGGAAGCCACTCACTTTTCCAGAATCTTCTTCCTCTTGGAGGGTGAGAAGGTCTCCAGCTGCAGACAGGGCTGGTTGATGAAGATCACGGAAAGGTAGAAATAGGAATCCCACACCTTGGAAAGGAGATGTGGAAAAATGGGCCACAAAGCACTTCATCATGTGGAGTGTGTCCTTCGTTCAGCCATGGACTGAAGGTCTCCATGCATCGCTGTGTGTCTCCTGTGAGGCTCACCCCAGGAGGCCCAACGCGCAGCCCCGCTGATCCTGAACACGCCGGATCTGCCTGTAATGTTCCTCACCATGCGGACCATCCTGGACACTCAGAGCCACTTACCTTATAATCAAATTTCTCATTCAGGAAGTTCTTCCTCAGGGCGTCTGACAGGTATAGGACCGTGGTGATGATAACACTAAAGAACAGGAAGCAAAGAGCAGAAGGAAAGCATTTCATAAATCAATCCAGCCATAACCATTATTGAGTACTAGGTTACTGAGTATCCGTAACTTATCTAAGGAAGTATAAGGCAGAAGGAAGAGGATACGCTTGGTTTCTAAGTACAAAGTGTACAAAGGAATTTCAGCCGAACTGAACCACAGACTTGTAAGTAATGATTTTTAAGTCACATGGGCGTGGTCCCTGACTGACACCTGACTGTGATGGACACGGAGGTCTGCCAATCACACTGCGGTGTGAACAGAGGGCTTGGCTTGGGGGTGTTTATCAAATAAGGAGGCACCAATTAGGAACAATATAGTTTGATACAAACAGCAGCAGAAATTCCAAGAAAAACAAACAATCTTGAAAAGTTTCATGCACATAAAGGAAGGAACTAACTTGTTGGTGACTAATCGCATGACCGTCCAGTCCTTGGGGAACATCTCCGGCCGGATGAGGATCCGAAAGACCGTGAAGATTTGCAAGAGAAAATCCTTGGACATAAATAGAGACGTTACACTTACAAAGAATGCGCTTCCACAAAGAGCTGCGTGTGGAAGCTGTGCTTGCATGGGCAGGTGGCCCATTGTGAGCGTGCGTGTGTCGGTCTGTTTACGAGAATGGATGAGGGAGTGACGGAGAGGACAGTAATCCCTCTCTTCATCCCCTACAGGCACAGGTCAGTCGATCCCATTTGCTGGGACTAACCAGCTTTCAAAGTGGGAGTTACCACTCTGGCCCACACAGACAGAAGCGCCTTAGCAGTGTCACAGCGAGACCTCAATTTACTTTCCGCCTGGATCTGATATTATTCATGAATTCCAATTCCACACTGTGTGGTCCTCCTGTAATGAGCTGTCTCAAACTGAATTCAATTACCCAAAATGCCTCACTCCCCTTTCAGTGCCCGTTTTAATGGCGCTAGATGGCAATCACCAGAGGTTGCATCCTTCCCTGCTGATAGATGGGGGCCCGACCATCGCTACAGTGATGACGGTGAGTGTCACATCGAAGGGGGACCTCACCCTCAGATCGTCCTTGCTTGTTAGACTCTCCAGCAGCTTCTGGTAGTGACTATCGGTCATCTGCCGGAGTAAGGTCAAAAGGCAGGCCACAAACTCCCCCTGGTGGTGAGACCGCGGAGGTGTCAGCAACCGGATGCGACGTACGAGCGGCGTGGTGATGCGGGGAACGGTAAGGCTCCTTGGAAATACAAAGCCGGGCACGGAATACACAAGGACAGCACACGCATACACACACATGCGCACAAGCCAGTGTGTAAGGGTATTTTCACACTTGGTCCTTTTCATCCTTTAAGGCGAACTCAGATCGATTAGTCAGCATTTTTTGCGTACATGTGAACACGGCAAACGAACTCAGACCCCTTTGAAACAAACCGAACTGAGACCATATCGGGAGGCAGTCTCAGTCCGGTTCGCTTTTAGTCTGCGACACGGTTCGTTTAACTTGTGCATTATGAACACAAAGCGGTCCTGGTTTGCTTCGACAATTTTTACCCTTTAGCTCTGCCGTAGGCAGATCACGTGGTACAGTCCCGGGAAACAAGCAAAAATAATGGCTGCAAAATGTGAGACGCGGAACAGTTTGGTCAGAGGAGGAGACTACGGCGCTTCCTGATATTTGGAATGAAGAAAACATAAAACGTCAACTATCTACAACACACAGGAATTTGCATCCATTTTGCAGCCATCTCGTTTGAAGTGAAAACTACCCAGAATCCAAAGCAGTAAAGGTCTGAGAGCTCCATAAGAACTTGAAGTATGAACAGAAAAAGGACTGAAGCCCCATCTAAGTTGAAGTAAACCAGAAAGAGAATTGAGTCCCCTTTCAAATTAACTCGCATTGTGAACACAAAAAAACTGAGTTCCCTTTCTGTTGGTCCACTTTTGGGACCACTTCTAGAGGTCTGAGTTTGGTTCCTTTAAGGAGGACTATATGTGAAAACACCCTAAGACTTCCGGAATCCCTCATAACGAGATATGTTAGACGGTCCCATTGCAACATCGACATCCAGGGCCACTGTAACAGCGTAAGGGTGGAGTAGCCGCGTACCGTGACATCCTGAAACTGTAAGCGCATGGAGTTGCCGGCAGGCTGCGGTCGGTTAGTGATCTCCAAGATGGTCCTCAACAGCACTCTAAGAAGGTTCCTCACCATCACCTCCACCTCCTCCGAGGCTGGGGCCTCCTGGGAACACAGATACAACCAAACACAGTAATGTAGCCAAGCCCAGCCTCAGAAGAAACTCACTACTCCTTACTAAAACCCAGCCGTGTGCGAGACCCCAGAAACACGGCCGTTTTTATGCTTCTTAGATCTGGCTAACCTCCAGAGGGCAGAAATGATTACACCTCCTAATTGTTATTAATGTGATTTACTAATTAAGCGTTCTATTTTAGGAGGAATGCAAGGCCTTCCTGTGAGGTTTCTATGGTGGCTTTGGACAGCTACAGATACCTTCTCATTCTTCTCATTGGCCTGAGATTATAAGGCCTGCTGGGATTTATGAGTAATTTACCCCTGGGATACTGGAACGGTGTGTTTGATCTCGGTATGCCAGGTCAGTCTAGGGTCTGGTCTTCATCATCTCACCTCAAACATTTAAGATTCTTCTGCCCTCTTTCCTTATCTACAGGAATACTTTGCAATAACAAATGAAGCCCCACCCTTCCACCATGCTGGGGGGCACAGTCAGGCATTTTCTTTATATGGTAAATGAGGTGTTTTGCAGTCAACTTACATTTCAATTTATTTTTGTATAGTGCATTTTCACGACATTACATTGTCTCAAAGCGCTTTACATCATCCCTGCCTAATGCCCTCAGAGAGTAAGCCAGAGGGGACAGTGACAAGGAAAAACTCCAGAGAAAGAAGAAACCTTGGGAGGATCAGACTCAGAGGGGGAGTCAATCCTCCAGGGGCCGGCAGAGGAAGTCCAAAATAACAAAGTAGCGATTTTATAAATTAGACTTGTGAATAGTTCAGGTATAAATGAGGAAGGTCCAGTGGAATTATAGAGGCTGATGTCTTCAGGCAACTTTACAGAGAAGGGCGGGGGCAGGGGCGGAGTCATGGGCAGAGTCATGGGCGGAGTCATGGGTGGAGTCATGGGCGGAGTCATGGGCAGGCCCAGGAGACTCACAGTGTCATCCTTCTTCATGAGGGAGAACATTCCGGAGAGGATCTGGCCACACATGACGAGGTCCCTCTGCTCCTGCAGGTGAGCCTGGAGGTGGTGCAGCACCACGGGGAGCAGGATACACCTGGACTCTGAAGGAAAGAGGAACAGACAGAGGTGGGAACAGGAACCTCCACATGCCTGCGGACGTCAGGAGGATTTCATGGCCACGCCGAGTTATGTAAGAAAAAAGGGCGACGCTTTACATTAACTGCACCTTCATAATGCTTTTATTAAGTATTCATAAGACATTCATAAACATCATGTATGTATACCTTAACATCCTAACATCCCTTAACAGCTGTAATATGCATTAATAACAAACATTATATAATAACAAACATTATAATTGTATAATCATGTAATGTTTGTTATTAATGTATATTTAAGCTGTTAAGGTATGTTAGGATGTTAAGGTCATGCTGCTTATGAATGTTCTATGAATGCATTATGAAGGTGCACTAAAGCGTTACTGAAAGAGTTAAATTAATCTAAGAAAATGAAGTATAAGGACATTCTCAGGGGATTACCTGGAAAAAGGGGTGTGTGAGCAGACATGGGGGAATATTTTGAAAAAAACAGGGAGTGAACCAGACAGTGAAAGAGAACTAATCTAACGGAGCGCAGAAGACAGCAGCAAGGACAAACAGTCCCACATTAAGCAGGAACTGAAATCATATCTTAAGTTTATGAGTTTTAACGGTTGATTCCAAAGTGCGGGAGATTTGGCAGCGCTGCGCCGATGCGAAAGCGGACGACAAAAATCGTGACACCACGGGATGGTGCGTGGACGGGATGTGTGAAATACCGACTGAGGGTTTACGGAGAAAGATTAAGGTAGCCAGCTTCAGCTTCTCATAAGCAGCAGTGGGGATAGGTGTCGCTTTTAAAGGAAAATGTCACTAAGATGGTTTCCCCCCCTTAATCCCCTGCAGAACAGCCAGACAAAGCAGCTGGTATTTACTTATCCAAGCTGGGCGGGGGGGAGGCAGCAAAAGCAGGCCAACCATAATCTCTACACCCAGAAATAAAGCGAAGCGGTAGAGTCAGTTTGCACCTCTGCTTCTCAAAGGTATATATATCTATAATGTCGACTCCTGGGTGGCAATTTTTAGCCCCGCGGGAGAAAATTCCCGGAGGAAAGACATGCAAAGACACAGAGAACCGGCAAACTCCATGCACGACAGAGGCAGGGGCAACACTCAAACCCCCAGCCCTGGGGGCATGAGACCAGGCATGGAGCCACCATGCCCCCCGTCGTCCTGTCTGAATGAAGCCAAAAACAAGCGATCTCTCGTTACACCTTAATAAACCGTGTCCCTGAAGACGGCGGCGGTTAATGAATGAAAAACAAACATGGTGGCATTAAAATTCAGCCCGTCGGTCGTTTGTAATTTTAATCAATTAATAAGAGGCTAACTGCGAATCCGCTGACTGCCCCAAATGCAAATCCCCCGCAAAAATGATGTCACATTAACTTTTTAATCGGCCATTTCTGTACAATGGATCCATTTCTTCCTAATTACATTCAATTCATTAAATCAGCTTTAAGGATATGATTCCCATGAAATCCCATCCTGCCCAGTGCATAATTTGCATTTTTTTCTTCATATTCAAAAGCACAATGTAAATTGTTGTTTATGTCTGGTAATAATACACATGCCGGTGTATGACTGTCCCACAGATGGCACGTGACAATTACCCAGTATCGAGTTAATCCCAGTTTAATTATCAGATGTGTATTTAAGCTTGGTCTGTGCTAATCACATTTGTAAACAGGATTTGTGTCATCATCACTTAATGCCTTTAATGGTGTAGTGGGAAGTTAATAACCAAAGTGTCACCGCAAGAAACATTCACGACTCCATCGCTGTACCTGGGTTAGTGTACAGTGAGCTCTCCACAGTCTTGGCAATGCACTGCAGCTTGACGGCCTCCAGGGGGCAGTCAGCATGGGAGATGGCAGGCAGGCTCCCGAGGGTCTCCCGCACGAACCCGGCCACCTCCCGCATGGTGAAGATCTTCAGCAGCTCGCAGTAAACGCAGGGGAACGTCCTGAGGAAGACGGCCTGCGGGGGGGCGTATAGGGAAGGCGGTAACTCAACCACACCCAGTGGCAGGAGAAGCTACAGCCACTCATACCTACTCATGGGACCTGGCGACATCCACTTTTGGGAGAAGCCACACCCACTAAGTGTTATTGGCGACACCCACTCATGAAAGAAGCGATGCCCAATTGCAGGAGAAACAACGCCCATTAATGGTTACTGGCAACGCCACTCACAAAATAAGCAACGCCCACTCATAGGAGAAGCCACGCCCACTCATGGGAGAAGCCATGCCCACTTGTGGGAGAAGCCATGCCCACTCGCCAGAGAGGCGATACCCACTAATGGCTATTGGCAACGCCCACTTTTGGGATAAGCCACACCCACTAAGTGCTATTGGCCACACCCACTCACAGGAGACTAAACCCATGCACACACAATCCATAGCTGGTGTGCTTCTGTGCAGGCAGGATGAACAGAATATTAAAAATCAGCGGGGGGAGAGGCAGCCTGCTCCAGGGCATCTAAAAAGCAAGTGAGAGGGGGGTGATCGCGAGAGATCGGGAGGAATTATAGAGAAGGGTTGCGGGGGGGCTCAACAGACTGCCTTCAGCTGTGTGTCATGGTGATGCTGCTCAAGAGAATTCCGAACGCACGCACCTCCCAATAAGCACCCTGGGGGGGGAGGGGGGGGGGGATTTAGACAGAAAAACAGCCCTGTGACAAACACACCAGCCTGTCCCATCTGCCTGAGAGGCATCTGTGAGGAGGCTGTGAGGAGGCTGGGGGCTGCGAGGGTGCATGGTGCTCTGGGGCCGGGCGGCTCGAAAGCAGTCTGAAGTGAAAATGTGATCAGGGATTCTACGCAGACGATCTCTACAGGCAGCATCAGAAGTATACAAAGGGCATCTATTTTCGGGGGGGATGGGGGATGCCATGTGGCCTGTTGTGTGTCCCCTGTTAGCATGTGACCACAATGCACCCTGTGAACCTCCACCCCTTTCAGATGTAAACAAACAAATGTTGGTCCAGACAATCCATCTTTGCCCCCTCCGCACCCAAATGTGAAAAACAGAGGTGGGGAATGCAAGTTTTTTTTCTTCCCCAAATGGAGGCAACCAGCTCACCAAAACCAGCATCAACTAATTCATCACTCAGGCTCCTACTGCAGTTAATCAGGAATCAGTCTTCTGCAAGTGGCCCCTCAGTCCTCACAGAGCTCCAAGGCCCAACCACCCAGTTAGGAGGTACGACTGGGGACCAGAATTTGCTCCACTCAAAGTCTGCGGGAATGCTGGCCTTTCCTCTGCTCACTGCTTTCCAAATTATTTTCTAAATTATTATTTGGATGCCAACTCGCCTTTTTTAAAGTGTGAATCGGCCGCTAATTAAACACTGTGACGCCTACAGTGAAAGCTGCAGCGAGCCCGAGGACCCCGGCTATGCGCGAAATGCCTCAGGTCGACAAACTCCAAGCGGCTCGGGATCGAAACGTCCACGGCGATACTGACAGTAGCCCCGGGTCGCCCTCTTCACCTGCGTCTGGGTCACAGAGTTGCCGCCTTTACCCTCCTGGGACAGGAAGAAGCGTAGTGACATGAAGAGCTCCCGAATACAGCAGCGAAACTCGTCGTCGTTCTGCCCCCCGGTGGCCAAGGCGAAGAGGCGGCGTGACTGGATGATGTACTTGAAGATGTACTCTGTGGCCTGACCGGGGGGGGGGGGGGTACGAGAAGGGGAGGTCAGCGGCGGGACTGGGGCGTTTATGCTCAGGAATGGGAAGAAATTCCTTCTTCCAGGAAATGGAGAAGCGGTGCTTCACTTCTGAGAGGAACATGAACCCCAGTCACCTTTAGGACCTGCTGGATGTGGTCCTGATGCTCCGCGTCCACGATGCGATCCACGTACCACTTCAGCACCTTGATCAGGTCTCTGGGAGTGAAGAACGGCAGAGAATCAGAATCAGGCTTGGACGGAGAATTAATATTCAAAACTCCAAATAACTTTTCATCCCGCATGTTGACTTTTATTAACACGTTCGGTCTCTGGACAAAATCGATCCCGTCCAGGGAGTCAGACTGACGCACGTTCTTCCTGCTTGGGCCCGTACCCCAAACAGCCTGCCATCCCAAACGGTCTGGCACCTCAAATCCGTGTACCCTGAATCGCCCTGCGCATGCGGTGACTCGCGGTGAACAATGCATGCCGGGGGAGGGGGAGGGCACTGTGAAATCAGCATTCATCTCTTCAAGGAAAGTGGGGGGGGGGGGGTGTACGAAAAGCAAGGCTTTAAAGTAGCCAAAACAAGACCACACAGCGAGGTTAGACCCAGAGCGTTTACTCCCTGCCAGCGGCCACTGTGAATATCTGACCGGGTGATGAATGTGGAAACATCAGAAATACGACATCGTCATGAACGCTACACTGTGCTGCGGACGAGGGAAGAGACCAAAGCCAGGCAGGCCTGGGGGGGCCGGATGTGTTAGGCTCTTTCTGTGTGTGTGTGTGTGTATGTGTGCGTGTGGGAGGGGGGTGCTGGAGTAGAATGGAAGGCCCATGGTTAGCCCTGGAAAGAGGTCAGTGGACAAAACAACAGACACCATTATTTCACACTTCAGTCTGTTCCACCCCCACTCTGGCACCCCCGGCCTGGTGAGAGGACTGTCAATGATTTGGGCATAATAAACTAGACAATGAGTTACGATAGGGAGGGCACTTTAAAAATGCTTATATAACAACATACAGAGACACACACAGACTGAGCACGCAGACACACACACACAACCTCCCCCACGGGGAGGGAGGGAACTGAGGCCTGGGGAGGATAGGGTTAATTTCTCTCCCCGCTGCCCAAATTTAATCGCCCCCCAGAGCTAGAAGCCGAGGATGGCACATCCCAGGACGCCGGCGTGGGGCCGACGGGGGCTTCACACTCACCTGTATGACAGAGCCCCTGCAAAGTGACTTTCGATGTAGGTGTCCATGACCGGCTTGAAGTGCTGGAACTTGCTGTCCTGCAGCAGGTTAATGATGTGGACCTAGAAGAGAGGGCAGCTCAGCGGGGATGAGGAGCAGCGGCTCAAAGCCGGAGATGCCCGATGGCCCTGGGATGGGCAGGAACCGGACCGCGGGACACTTACCAGGCAGTCAAAAACCTTCAAGCCGTATCGCTGGGAATTTTCATCCAAGATGCCGAAGAGGGTGTCCAGAGTGTCCTGGAGAAACTGTGGGGGATGGACAGAGCAAAGAGCTTTACTTAAGGGATCATGACCCAATATCTCCTCATCAGTAAGGGATCATGACCCAATATCTCCTCATCAGTAAGGGAT